TTCCTTAGACTAAAAGAATACTGGCTATGTTTCCCTTATCAGCCTCTCTAGCCTAAGAAACTTCCAGTAGCTTAATCTGGCTTTCCAAAGCCTCGAAACTTTGCTTCACAATTCACTCTCTTTCAGCTACAACCTCCTAATCCTTTCCTCTACCAACTCCTCACCCTCAACTCTTAACTCCCCACTGCTCACTCCTCTAAACCTAAACCCTAACTCCTCACTCCTCTGAACCTAAACCCTAACTGATGTTTAACTGTCGTTTTTTCAAACTCTCCTCTCTAAGCTCCTCCCACTTCTCTCTCTCCTGCATCTGTCTCCATGGCAACGAACATGGAGGACTCCTCTGACTTAGGCCGCTCCAGCATTACTGCAGCCAATCTAAACACAAATACAGTTAAAATCATACAATTTATAATCAACTCCTGTACAAAATTCATTTTGTTATTTTTGGCCCAACTCTCTTTTTAAGATCATTTTGAATTCTTATCCTTCCTTTGGAGAACTAGCTATCTTTCCTAATTTGATGTCATCTGCAAATTTGATAAGCACACCATCTAAACTAGGGGTCCTCAAACATTTTAAACAGAGGACCAGGTCACAGTCCCTCAAACTGTTGGAGGGCAGGATTATAATTTGAAAAAATCATGAATGAATTCCTATGCACACTTCACATATCTTATTTGTAGTGCAAAAAACACTTAAAAACAATAAAATAATTAAAATTAAGAACAATTTTAACAAATATAAACTTATCAGTAATTCAGTGGGAAGTGTGGGCCTGCTTTTGGCTGATGAGATAGGGTTGTTGTTGTTGTTGTTGTTGTGTGTTTTCAAGTTGTTTGAGACTTAAATTGACCCTGAGTGAGGGCTGGGTAAATGACCTTGGAGGGCTGTATCTGGCCCCTGGGCCTAAGTTTGAGGACCCCTGCTCTAAACCTTCATCCAAGTCATTAATCAAGATGTTAAACATTAAAGGGCCCAGGATGGAACCCTGCAGCACTCCACTCCACTTCTTTCTAGGTTGAAGAGGAACCATTGATGAGCACCCTTTGGGTCTGGTCACTTAACCAATTACAGATCCTCCTAACAGTAGCGTTGCCTAGCCAACATTTGACTAATTTGCTTTTAGCTTTCTTCCGAAAGCTTCAACATTCTTTGTAATCTTTTGAAGACTATGCCTTACAGTATTGTTGGTTCCTACATGAGCTATTAGAGATCTAGAAGGATTCCTAAATGCTGTGGAAAGTTTTCCAGCTGCTGCAGTTTGTGATCCTGTTGATGCCCTGGCTAGTAAATGGAAAAGGGAAATGACCCAGGTAATTAACACAATCACTCATAACCATCCTTTGAATGGATACAGAGAATGAGCGCCTTGGTTTTCTGAAAAGTTGAAACAAAATGCTTGGGTAGACAAGTAGGGTCTCAGAATGAATTCAATCAAGCATAGGTAGGGCCCCATTTTAGTCTACTCTGTAGCAAGAGGGCAGTGAAGAAATGACCGTTTGTCACTCTATTACATTAGCTCAGTCTTGTCCTGTGCAGCTATTTCAGGGAATTAAAAGGCTATTACATCCTAAAACTCAGACTGCTGAGGAGAAGCCATCAGAAAAACACTGTGATGAATTTGATAAATGCTTTGCAGAGAAAATTGCTCAGATGTGTTCTGAGTTTGACTCCACATCAAAGCTAGAGTCTGGGGAGGTAACTAAAACACGTAAGTGGTCAGTTTTGATGGATGAGTTTCAGTTTGATCAACACGATAATGTGGGCAAGTTGCTTGAGGAGATGATTAAGAGGACTTTAAATTAAATGTTTGTGGGGTTGGGGATTAATGGCTCAAACATCAGCCCAAAAGCAAACTCTAAACATAAAGATCCACAGAAAAACTGACAATAAAGGAATAGGTGAGAACAAACAACACTGCAAATATCTATTCATCAACACACAAAGTATTTGGGGGGGGGGGGGGGACAAGTCCTGATGCACGAAGACAAATATGACTCTATGGTCATAATAGTGTGGGATACCTCCCTAATGTGGCAAAAAAGAGGGGGGTTACAACAGATGATACGGGAATCTATCTTTCTATACAAATAACAAAAATAATCAACCCAAACAAGACAAAATTGCTCTTTTTGCCAACAGGCAAACCAAACTGGGGCTGGGAACACATCCTTCCTCTGCTGCTCCTGGAAGGCCAAGTGGCTATGGTGGCAAGGAGAACCACCTTTGCCAAGCTTTGGCTGGTGCACCAGGTGCACCTTGACTTAGGGAAGACAAAATTGGTCACAGAGATCAATAGTTTATTTATCTCCAGGTTAGGCTACTGTTATACGCTTTACATGGGGGTGCTCTTGAAAAGTGTTTGGAATATGCAGCACTTTATATGCATTATGTTGTTTTAAAATGCAGCAGGCAGACTTGTGTTAGGTGTGGATTTTGAGACCAAAACGCCGCCATTTTTTCAAGTACTATGCTAGCTTCACATTTGTTTCTGAACTCAATTCAAGGTGATGGTTTTTGCCTGCAAAGACCTAAACAGCTTGGGATCAGGATATTTGAAAGACTGATCCTTCGCCCATATGAGCTAACCAGAAATTTTGGATTCAGAAGGCATTTTTCCAGCTTTCACAAGAGTCCTGCACCCCTAATTCCCACAAAAATTGAGGGACTGTATTATGATGAAAAGCAATATTTTCTTTTAGCAGGATTATTTATTTATCATGTCAGAAGCAAATTGAGGATACAGTTGTAATGTATTTAAAAGCACAAAGTTAAAAACTTGGCGTAATACTAAATGCCCTTTGACCAGTAGCTGGCCACTTGGGAGTGCTTCTGGTGTTACTATAAGAAGGTCCTCTATTGCGCATGTGGCAGAGCTCAGGCTGCATTGTAATAGGTGGTCTGTGGTTTGCTCTTTTCCACACTCACATGTGGTGGACTCCACTTTGTAGCCCCATTTCTTAAGGTTGGCTCTGTATGTCGTGGTGCCAGAGCACAGACTGTTCAATGATTTCCAAGTTTCCCAATCTTCTGTGGGCCCAGGAAGGAGTCTCTCATTTAGTATCAGCCATGGATTGAGGTTCTGTGTTTTAGCCTGCCACTTTTGGACTCTCACTTGCTGAGGTGTTCTGCAAGTTATCTCTGTAGATCTTGGAAAGCTATTTCTTGATTTAAGGCGTTGGCATGCTGGCTGATATGTGAATAGGGGATAGGCCGGAGATATCACTGCCTTGGTCCTTTCATTATTGGATGCTACTTCCCGGCGGATGTCAAATGGTGCAATACCAGCTAAACAGTATAATTTCTCCAGTGGTGTGGGGCGTAGACATCCTGTTTAGCAGGATGTTACATGTAGAAATACACAATACACAAAGGTAACTAACTTCTCACACTCAAAAGCACACCTACTTTTGGAAATGAGTTTTTCAATGCAGAGCTTGGGCAATTTAGATATTAAAATAAATGTAGCTCTGAACAATACTGCCTGGGTGGCCATCACAGCAGTATTAATTTTACACTGTGACATGTACTGAAAAAAAAATCTGAACTTCTATGGAACTACACTTAATTCTCTAAATTCTATGGCATTTTGCTTATTTTAAGACAATATTATTAACAGCTGAAATAGGTCATGATTGCAAAGTGTTCCACAAACTGATGTTCACAATGACCTTAGTAGATCCAATCCATCATTATGGTTTCAAATTTAGAATTCAAGAAGGTGAAACTCAAAAAGAGCTACTTCCATAGCACTACACAGGGAGGGCATGACGAAGGTTAAAAGGATGGACAGCAGCAACATGAGTTAGGACCTTGAACATTAAAACCCATTAAGATGTTTTATTTCATAGTAGTTTACAACATTACTTAATGGTTCATGAAACTTCAGTATTGCATAGTATAAATGAATATGTAATGGCACTGGTTATACAGACTTTCCTTTTATTGCCTCATGTCAGCATGCAGAGTTATGGCTAGTTACGGTGAACAAGAATGGCTCGTTCACATTTCTTTGCTTTTTGACGTTTAAATTATACTAATCATATGCTAAGCTGAATTCATCTATGGTGTGCACAGTTAAGAGTCTCTGCATTAAAAAAAAACCCCTTTCTTCAATAATGGAAACTTCAGTCCTGCCTGAGCCTGCGGCATGGCAAGGATCTCTGTAACTACAACTCTGAGTGGCTGCACTCTGAGGGAGAAAGGGAGGGAGTGTGGGGGACGCAAGCAAAGGTTTAACAAAGAATCACTTTAACAGAAACTCCTGAGTAATGGCTTTGCTCGAAGCCAAGAACAACATCATCTCGATGTCAGCAATTAGAAGAAAGATCAGCTAGGCCCCCTTCAAACCTCTCAGAGGCACAGCTTTCCTCACAGGGCTACCCTGTGCTGAGCATTGTGTGCATGGGGCCCGATGGAGAGAGATTCAAAAGGCATCTACTCTTTCTCCTTGGCCAGAGTAGACCAGAGTGTAAATGAAAGGGCAGTACAGAGCATGGAACATTTCTAGAGTTTTCTTTCTAGAGAGCATTAAGATACTTAGAAAAGCTGGTTATTCAATCAAGAAGAGATCACACGAAAACCAAAATTAATCAAATTAATGCACCAATTAATTTGAGTGTGTATGATTCAGCGAGGAAATAAGATTTCATATCAGCTTGTTTAGAACTGATTGATTGAATAATTACAATAATATCCAAAGGAAAGAATTCCAGGCAGATAAAAAAGACAGTCAATGAAATACAAATAAAACAAGACTATGTAATAAAGGAACAGTAAAATTATATCAATGTGATATAAAATATGAAAATAAACACCTCCCATTTTTATGATGCAATAGGTTACAAAATCCATTGTTTGCAGGAAATTGTGCTAATGAACAAAGTTGGGGTATTCTTTTTAGAGTATTTGGATTTATTTTCTATTGTTATTTTATAAGAAGGTCTCTTGCCCAATGATAACACATCTTGTAAGGTTTCCTTAGTCATCTAAGTCACCTGGTGTCGGGCTCGACTCTGGTCCAAAAGCTGTCGGGACTGAAGCTTCTGCTGTTGGAGCTGCTGCAGGGCAAAATGGAGCTGATAGCTGCCGGTGCTAGATGAAGTCTTGGGATGCAGTGTTTGGCTTCCTATCAACTTACTCTGTATGCTGTTCTCTGCATCTCCTTCCCAAGCAAACCTGTCAGTTTCGAGTGCCCTGAAAGAAGAAAGGTTTCACTGTAATTTAAAAACTGTTCATCACAGCAAGCTTGTCTAGGAAGAGAGAAAAAATGTCTGAAGACCTCACTACCTCTGAGGATGTGTCATAGATGTGAGGAGAGAATGCTTCTGGAACATGGCCATACAGCCCAAAAAACTTACAGCAACCCAGTGATTCCAGCCATGAAAGCCTTTGACAACACAATGTCTGAAGACCTTCCTTGATGCTGCCCAAAAAGTTAAGAGAGCTTTTGGTAGCAAAGAAGTCCTATAACAACAAGGTGCATGACCATCACCTTATGATGTGATTTATTTCAGGTCAAGATAAAAGGCTTCTTACATTTCTAGCATTGGCTTTTTGTGGTTTGAAATTATGACTGTGTTCCTGAGTCAATTCTGCCCTCTATGGCCTTGCCTCTGCTGCAGATCAGCAGTACAGGAAGTCCCTGAGTTACAAACATCCGATTACAAATGACTCCTAGTTAAGAACAGGGGTAAGACACCTGTTCAGTGAGACAACAAATTCAACTTCAGAACAAACCTACAAATGAACATTTCCTGTTGTCATCCAGAATGCTGAGGAGCCATAGCCCACCTTTTCAGAGAACCAAAGACCTTGTCAAAAACCATCTTGTAAAAACACCAGCAAAACTGAGTTTGCACTTTTCAGAAAGGAAGCCTTTTCTAGGAGATTGCCAGGCAGTTATGATAAATGGGGATGGGCAGAGATAGAAAAAGGCATGCAAGCAGCATGGTTCTAATAAGGTCCCATCTGCACTGCCAAATAATCCATTTTCAAAATGAAGATAATAATAATAATAATAATAATAATAATAATAATAATAATAATAACAATAACAACAACAACAACACTTTATTTGTACCCCACTACCATCTCCCCAGGGGACTCGGTGTGGCTTACATGAGGCCAAGCCCGAATACAACAATACAAGCAATAATAACAACAGTACAAGCAATTAAAATAAAAACATAGACACTAAAATATACAACATTATCAATAAGACAACACACAATTAAAAACAGTGGGAAGGCCAAATGTAAAGTTAAAATTGGAAGTAATTAGCTGCATTGAACTGGGTTATATGGTAGTGTAGACTCACATAATCCAGTTCAAAGCAGTTACTCTCAGGCCCGTAGCCAGGATTTTGTTTCGGGGGGGGGGGGGGGGGTTTTGGTTTGGGGGGGGGGGGGCTGAGTCTGAGTGAAAGAGGGTCTAGCCTAGCAAACCTTTTGTATCATTACCCCAAACCCCATGCATATGGGATATATTGAGTATGGTGATCAGATCATGATATGAATAAACATAACAGTTTAAATAATGTACCAGTAAGGCCTTCTCACGGACCACCATGAGAATTTCGGGGGCGGCTGAAGCCCCCCAAGCCCCCCCCAGCCGCCCCCCTCCCCCCCGGGCTACATGTCTGGTTACTCTGTATTCTGAAACTGGCTTATATGGAAGTGAAGATCCAACCTTAGAATGGTAGGGAAGCCCAGAGGCCTATATGTGCAACCGTCTTACAGTGTTCAAAAAAGCTGATGTTGGGCTCATTTCATTCATTCCATTATGATAATACTTTACCAATGAAGAAGCTCAACACATTAATAAAAATCTTTTCTAAAGACAGAAGCATTGTCACAGCCTTGCCTTCCAGAATGAGAGGGCAGCTGTGAAACGCAATGCCTTACAATATATATGTGTGTGTGTGAGCTCAACTGTTTGCTTTGAAGTTTAAGTTCATGGCCCTGGCTATAGTACTTTACTCTTTTAGGCCAAGCACACATGCTTTATGAAGAACAGGTGGTAGGATGACAGTGCCTAGGATAGTCATCCCCCGGCCACCAAAGCATATCATGTGACTCAATAGTTCCTGAAGGGTGAACTAATTTAAAAATTTAAGATTTCCTCAAACTATTTGTGTCCCATCTCCATACGATTCCCCAGTGATGTATTCCTGCTTTACAAAATCTTTTTGTTTTTCCCAAAATACTTTTCTTTCTTTTCTAACTTTTGACATATACATTTAAAAGTATTACTACATCTCAAGACTACTATGAATGGTTATACATAATCATTAATTTCCACATTTGAACTTTACCTGTTTGATAATAACTTATACATCTTGTAAATGCCAAAGTAACAAAAGAAAACAGAAGCTTTGTAACATTGTTGTAGTGACTAGCTGGTTGCATGACTGCCATTCTCTTAAGTCATTTTTTGTGGCCAGAAAACTGGGGACTGCATATATTCTAATCGCTCTTTTTTTCCGTGTCAGACGGCACTTGAAAAATTGCAAGTCACTTCTGGTGTGAGAGAATTGGTCACTTGCAAGGACGTTGCCCAGGTGATGTCTGGATGTTTTACCATCCTGTGAGAGGCTTCTCTCATGTCCCTATATGGGAAGCTGGAGCTGGCAGACGGCAGCTCACCCCATCGTGCAGATTTGAACCATTGATCTTCAGATCAGCAGTCCAGTCAGCACAAGGGTTTAACCCATTGCGCCACTGCAGCTTCATTCAGCTGGCGCAATGATCCTTTCTAATAGTGAACGTTAGGGCCCTTTTTATATATATTGCTCAACTCCACAAGGCAGGGATGCCAAACCCATGGAATGACATCAAACATTCCTCAGGCTATAGTACTCACCATATGAAGTTATTTTAAAAGTCAAATCAACAATGTAAAACATGTACCCAGGACTGTTTATTACAGAACAGGCTAAAGATATGAAATGGCAGAACACCATTTGTGTCATATGCAGTTCCCAACTGAAATTACGCAGTATCATCAGCAATACCATTTTGGACAATCATGTTGCCCTCACAAGGAGCCTTGGTATTTGGTCTTTACTTGAATTTGAGTTGAAGAAGTGTTGTACTAGGTCAGACATGAATATATTAATATATTATGGTGCTATGTGTCTATCCATGGCAGTACCGTTTACTTGAAGGTATATGTTATTAGTTGGGGAATATGTCCTTACGTTATTGCTGGAATGCAAACACCACCAGCTTCTACTAACACGTTGAAAACTCAAAGATAATGGGAATGATAGTCTGGAGGGCCAATTCAAGATTTCCAGCTCTTTCTAAAGCAGTGGTTCTCAACCTGTCGGTCCCCAGGTGTTCTGGCTTACAACTCCCAGAAATCCAGCCAGTTTACTAGCTGTTAGGATTTCTGGGAGCTGAAGGCCAAAACACCTGGGAACCCACAGGTTGAGAACCACTGCTCTAAAGTGTTTCACTCACATTGTTACCATTAAATCTAATAGCAAGAATTTAATCATCAGTGAGATAGGAAGACTGTAAAGTTGTTTTTCCCTTTTCATTGGAATGTTATTCAGCATTCACACACATTGTAACACAGAGAGAGAGACATTAAGTTTTAGGAATCAGAATAGTACAATAAAAAATGGGATGATCCACAGAAGTGCACCTACAAGAATGGTATCACAAAGGGAAGGGTGCTGAAGATAGACATTTTGCAGACCTGTTGCTTCAGACATCTTCAAGAACCATTAATCTAGTCAAGATGATTTCAGAGCAGGCCTCTGAAAAGCACCACCTAACATGCAGCAGTCAATACTTCAATGAACAATTCCATTTGGTCTGGCAGATCTCAGCATTCAATTGACTTGAAATAATGCATTTGAAGATCAAGTAACATTTTATTTGGTACAGCACATACTTCTTTCATCCCAAAGAATGTCCTCTCGCTTTGTACTAGAAGGAAAGCAATGATAAACAAGAAAGGAAAATACCAGTGGACAGAAGAAATATCTCTGAGAACAAACAGCATCAGTTTCTCTTTAAAAAAATTTGCATTCTGATGCAAGGAAATTTTGTCTTTTACAATATTAAAATGTGTTCTAGGAGTAAAAAGGAGAACATTTAAATATATAGTATACTGCCGAAAATGAAGCCTGAAGTAGCTGACAAAAGCTGAAAGTGGGGTCTAAAGCAGGAACCCTGATATGCAATTGTGTGTGCCAAAATGTAGTCTAGACACTCTAGACCAGGGGTCCTCAAACTATGTCCCGGGGGCCGGATGCGGCCCTCCAAGGTCATTTACCTGGCCCTCGCTCAGGGTCAACCTAAGTCTGAAATGACTTGAAAGCACACAACAATAACAACAATCCTATCTCATCAGCCAAAAGCAGGCCCACACTTCCCATTGAAATACTAGCAAGTTTATATTTGTTGAAATTGTTCTTCATTTTAATTATTGTATTGTTTTTACATTTTTTTGCACTACAAATAAGATATGTGCAGTGTGCATAGGAATTCATTCATGTTGTTTTCAAATTATAGTCCGGCCCTCCAACAGTTTGAGGGGCTGTGACCTGGCCCTCTGTTTAAAAAGTTTGAGGACCCCTGCTCTAGACCAGTGTTTCTAAACTTTCCTAATGCCATGACCCCTTAATACAGTTCATGTTATGGTGACTCCCAACCGTAACATTATTTTCATTGCTACTTCATATCTGTAATTTTGCTACTGTTATGAATCATAATGTAACTTATCTGATATGCAAGATGTATTTTCATTTACTGAACCAAATTTGGCACAAATGCCCGATACGCCACAATTTGAATACTAGTGTGGTTGGGGGATGAGACTGATTTTGTCATTTGGGATTATAATTGCTGGGATTTATAGTTCACCTACAATTAAAGAGAATTTTGAACTGCACCAATGATGGAATTGAACCCAACTTGGCACACAGCACTCCCATGACCAACAGAAAATACCAGAAGGGTTTGGTAGGCATTGACTTTGAATTCTGGGAGTTGTAGTTGCTGGGACTTATAGTTCACCTACAATCAAAGAGCATTCTGAACCTCTCCAACAAGAGAATTGGGCCAAACTTCCTACACAGAACCCCCATGTCTTGAAGGGACTTGCTGGAGTGAGCCTTCCTCCAACCTCACAAACTGTTCCTCACCCACTCATGTGAACCATACTGCCTACACCCAGCACAC